AAAAAAAATGTGCTTTAACCCGCTGCGCCACCAGGGAGGGCCGAGTGATGATTTTTAAAGTTGTGGTCAAGCTTATAATTCTCACAAGTTTTAGCATACCAGAACTCCTCAAAATGATTATTCCTTGAAGTCAATTAGTAATTGCATAGTTTACCATTAACTTACTCTTTAAAAAGTTTTCAGTTACCTTATTCTTTTTATTCTACTTTATTTTCCCCCTTCTGCTTTCAATCTCCACCCTCCTGATTTTGGTCTGTTTAAGGGACTCGATTTCTATGTTTCCATGCCTTTCTCTTTACTATATTATTTTTCAGAGCCACTACACATCAAGTGCTTAAGCAGTTAGAAATATATTGATAGGCTGAAATAGATGGAGTGAAAAAGAAACTTCCTACGTTTCAGTAGCTTTGAAAAGAGAGAGGTCACAGTATCATGGGGACAGTCTTAGAAGCTAGAGAGCTTAGTTATGTTATCTTGCATCTCTTGAAAGGAACAATAGCTGGCTATTTCGATTCGGAGCTATTCGCGCCGCCTAGTGGAAGGAAGCGCCTTCGCACCTCGTTCCCTCAATTGGCCTTGTCACCACGTACACGCTTGGAAACATTAAAATTAAATACGATAGAAAGAAACACCAGTTTCAAGTTTATCTCAATCTACAGGTGCATTTCTTCAAAGTCCAGTTTCATTTAAAAAATTCACGTCAGTTTAAAGACAATCCCAAATATTAGATCGTGGTTGTAAATGTAGATTTCAGAGAGTGTATTAAACAAAACTTGTTAAAATACTCGTGTTTGAATCATTTCTGTGGTAGGGAGGAGGAAAGCCAAGTCATGAACAAAACTGCTAAGTCCTTCAGAGCTGCAACGGAAATGTTTATTCTTTTTTACCTGCAGTTGGTAAGTGACTACTTGCTGTGTGCAAATTCCAAAATCTTCCAATTTTTTTTTCTAAATTGCTTTCTACCTTTGCTTTTTTATTTTAAGGAAATGAAGGCCTAAAAGTGGAAGGCCATTTTCTAACTTACCCTAATTTAGGACTATGTTGCTTTATGTCATAACTGTGGTGGGACAATTTCCTCTTAAATTCAGTTAATACATTTCCTTTCAGACATATGGAAATTAAAAATGTGATCTTTCTGCCTGCTCTTCTCTTTTGATTTTTTTTTTTAAAGGAAGAGCTCATTATCTTGCTATGTTTGAAGTGCATGACTTCTTGGCACATACATCATATGTACTCAGGAAAAAAATAATGGCAAAAAGAGAAATGTGTCTGGAGAAAAGTTTAGAAGCAAAATCATAGCCTTCCGGATTTGTTTTTCATATAGTTTGCAATCTTGAATTTGAGTTCCTTTTTTGGGTCTTCAGGCCACAACTAGTATTTCCTGTCTGGTAGAGGCTAAAAGGTATGATGCTTGATAATAGTCAAGTTCATATTTTTACCATCACAATTGTTGCTCCTGAAAGCTAGCCATCTCATATTCCACCTAAAGAAGCTTCTAGAATCTTAACCTTTTCTTAGCAAAACTTAGCTGAGATATTTACAATATGGGGCCTACTGGGCTTCCATTACTCTGCCTTCATTTTTTAATAAAGCGAACATTTCCCTTCACCTTGACACCTCATCTTCCTCTCTCCCTTTCTTTTTAGATTTCCTTTTTTTTTTTAAATATGGTCATATTTCTACCTCTCCTGCTAATGTCATGGGTTATTTTAAGCAAAAACACAAAACAAAACAAAAACAAAAACCCTGTCTAACCTCCCAACACAAGCTGTACAATCAGGCTTTTGAGCTCTTGAGCCACTTTAGGCGTTGAAACAAAACAAAAACAGGCTTAAATGAATTATTTATCAAGGTCGAGAATAATTGATTTGTACAGTGTCTGAGTTCTGGATCTTAAATTTGTTTTGGTCACCTCCCCACTTCCCACCCTAAATAGGCAATGAAAGAAGTGCTGGTTGGAGCTCTGGGTCTGGGAGGAAACGGACCTTATTAGGGGGTGTATAAACCGGTGAGTGATGTCAGAATGGGAATAACCCTAATTGATATTTGAAGGGAGAAGAACGTGTAGCAATCGCCTGCAGTCTCCGCTACCCCAGAGTCTTTCCCACCAGGCCAGCTGCGCGCGGGGTGCCGAATCACTAAGCAGTGTGGCGCCCGGCCTCATGGGCAAGGCCTTCTGACCTTGGGTAAGACAGATGCCCCTGGTTCTGAAATTCTGGGCCACAAAGTCCACGTCCCGTCCTTAGGTTCCCAGGAGGGTCAGCCCGACTGGAGCCGGGGCCCCGCTCCACAGTCGGTTGCTCCAACTCCGCTCCAGGCATCAACCAGGCCCCAGGCAACATCCCGGGCCGAGGGATCCGACTCCAGCCTTCAGGGCCCACGGCACCTCCCGAAGGGCCCCGGGTACCCGCCTTAGGCCGGCGATCGCCTCTGCCTACCGCTCTCCCGGCCTCCCCGCCTCGGCTCCCAGCCCCGGTTCCTTCGCCAAACTCTCCTGCCTTCAGAGAAAAGCGAGAGCGGCCCGGCTGGTACATTCCTCGCCTCGGTCTTTCTTCTTCCCGCTGTTCTCCTCTGACAGACTCGAGAAACCGTTCGAGGACGATATGAAACAGCCCGACACAGTTTCGAAATAGTGCGAGCCTTTCCTGGGTCAGATAATTGAGGTTCCCAGGAAAACGAGGGAGTCTGCGTCACCCTCTACCCTTCCCGGGCCGCGGGCTTTTCCTGCTGCGGCTCCCAGCGTCAGGCAGGGTCTCATCTCAGGAGGTCATTTGCCTCCTAACAACCGCCCTACTCAAATCCCCTCCGCAACAGGAAAAAAGCTGTTCCCGAGCAAAGCAACCAAACCCCATATTTCGGCCCAGCCCTCGGAGACTGGAAAGGCCATTTTCTATCATCATGCTGCACCTAGTCATGGCAGCGTTGCCAGCCACGCAGATTCATAGGGCTCTTAAAATGGTAATTTGGAGTAAAATGTAACTCAAAGAACTTTGAATCATTCATTAGCACCTTATAATTACTCTGCTAATTAGGTTGACACGGCACTTAATCAGGAGTAATATGCCGTCTTGTCACTGGCACTTCCCATTACACTGACATTCAACAAGAGACAGGTTGGAGACGTCCTAGAGAAAATAATGCAAGTTGATACCCTCCGACGAGGCGTCACGGCCAAGCTCCAGGTCCCAAGTGGAGCCTCGGTGGCTGTTTCCTTTCCAGATGAGCGACCGGAGAGGGGGTTGGGAAGAAGGGAGAGGAGAGAGGGAGGGAGAGAGAGAGAGAACGCTGGGTCGTTCGTGGAGAGGCGGGGTGCCGACAGGGGTGCCGCCACCGGTTCCCCAGCCCAGCGCCAACAGGACAACGCCATGAACCATGGGTGTCCAGGCTAGTGAAGTCGCCTTGGGGAGAAAGTGATTGGCCAGGCATTTCTTCCCGCACGGGCTCCGATCGAACCTGGCTGGGGACCGAGTTCTGAGAGGCAGCCCTCTTCCTACCCCTTCGGATGGTACCCGGACGCGCGCGCGCGTGGGGGGGGGTTGAGGGGCGGGGGAACGAGGAGCACGCTGCTCCATCCTCCCAAGGGCTCGACTGTCAAAGCGTGGTCCAAGCCCCAGCGCCCCGACACTTCGGCGAAGAAATCGGAGCGGGGAGCGCGCTCGCCCCAGCAGAGTTCTGGCCGCGTGAGTGGCACACTTTGCAGCGCTTTCCTCCAGAGGGCCGGTCCTCTGCTCCCGGCGCCCCGGGGCTCTCCAGCGCGCGTTTGGGGCTGTTCCGAGGGCGGCGCGCTGGAGACTAAAGGTAAGCGGGCCGGGTTCCTTTTCCCTTTCCTGTCCGCATTCCCGTTGCCCTTCGGACTTGTTAAGAAAACGAACAGACCGTCACTGCCCTTCTCGCGCTCGTTTTTTTTTTTTTCTTTACCCCCCTTTGGCTCCCCTCCCCAGTCTCCCCCTGTCGGCGTCCCCGCTCCGCGTCGGCTCCGCCCGCGTGACTCCGGACACCCGGACCCACACAGGACTGGGCGCTCGGCTCCGGGCTGCCGGCACTGGGACAAGCGGATTCTCAAAAGAGCAGTGGGGCTCAGCCGCGCTCGCTGACGGGCTCGCGACTCGCGCGCCCATTGGTCGCCGGCACGTCGGCGTCGCGCGCTGGCTCGGG